TCATAGAAAAAAAAATTGTTAAATTTTATCCCCGATTGTATGACCTATAGTTTGTTATTAAAAAAATTCGGGCTTTTTCGATACATGTAACCCACACGCAGCTATGTTAAGGCTTCCCGAAGCTTTTAAACGCGCTCAAAACATAATATGTCATTGCGAGGTCGGTTTTGGTTTTAATTTATAAGTATTGAACTTAAGTACTTCCAATTTATATAGAGGGTTTCCTCGGCTATATATTAACATATTTGTTATGGTATCACATGACTTTGTTGGTCACGTGAAGGTCATTTATAATTTTTTGAAGTGTTTCATATAAATCGCTTCGGCGCAGGTGATTAACACAATAATTATTAACATTTTGTTATATAAATAACCTCATCGTATTCTTGTGTATCCGAAATGTGCTTGGGAAAAGTCATAGTATTACTTAGATACAAAATATTTCCTGAGAAGTTCAAGTTACCTACAATTTGAGGGTATCTTCCACACAATATCGTAATCTGTATTAAAACAAAGCCAACACATATTTTTCCCAAGCAAGATTCAGTTAGAGAAAAACCTCTTCTTACAGATTTCCACAAAAATTCTCAGATTAATCCTCATTAATCACCTGCGCCAGACTGTTTTATACACACAAAATAAATTCTACCTCCAACCACGGGTATAAAACAGAGTACATTTCAAAAGTATATTTTTCATAAGCATTTTGAACATGCTGAATTTCAATCAAGGGTAGGTAAGCGGTGAATTTTTAAAATATTCGGACATATAAGACTTAAAGAACCTTTAAAGACCCGTGAATTTTGCAATAGTTATCTAGCATTTTACATGCAGTTTGAAATAAAGTCTAAAGTTCATGACACTCTCCCCGTCATAACACCTCAAGTTTGCAGTGACTTGACGTCATTTTCCATTATGACGTCATATTTTGGTAGTTCAGAGATGTGAAGGCACAGAGTGCACTGTGATATTCTACGGGAAGCCTTAACCTACCTGCGCATGTATCCCATAACGACTGGGACTTGACATCTGTACTAGATTTATACGGAAGATAGTCTATCATTAGAAAGATGGTACTTGTGTAGCAGATATCTGTAGTACGCAGAATTTTTTTTTATGTTTCTCCCTCTCCCCCACATGGAAAAACGTTGCTATAGGACTTTATCAAGCTATATTTGGATTGCTTTCTATCAAATTACTTTGCGAACCTTGATGCACAAAACTAAGCCCGTAAACATGGTAAAGACCATCTTTTAAAACCTTATAGTTGAATTAAGTTTTCAATTCAACATGTTCAAGCTAGCTATTAAGCTATCTATATAAGTTCATCCTACTTATTTAAAGTGTTTGTACCATAGAATTTAATTGTACATACGGATATATGCATAAAAGAGAAATTCGGATCTTGGTAACACCAAAGAATACTTAAATGTATAAGCGTAGCCTGACATAATCCCATGGCATCCGGTTTAATCTCGCTTATAAATTTTCTGCATGAACCTCAGGGTCCACGCAATAACAGAAAATTGACAGTGAAACGTCCCCCCTTACACGTCTGTGGACAGAGTTAGAATTTATAAATCGTGTACATGTATATCACTACCACAAGTGACTAACAAGGATAAATTGAAGATATTCTGTGTGAATCTATTAGAGAAGTTTGTCCTCTGACTGAATTTTGCTGGGTGATTGTATGTAATCTATCCTTTTTCGTATAAATTGCGATAAAGAGTGGAAAATGCCCCCTTTGTTGTTTTATCTTTGTATATCTTTGTATATATGGTTAATGCTCGTTGAATATTTTTTTTAAATAAAAAAAAAATCAAACCTGCCCCCAGCACTTTATATTGACAAACAAGTAGATGAAACAAGAATATCAGCAGTCTCGTTTAAAGCCATCATTTCGTAAGTTCTATGGTCGATACAATGACCTTGTCAGCTAATACAATTTATCATTGAGTCAAATGCTGACTTAGGTTTTTCATACTAATTGTTAGGTCATTATTTACACACTGAATTGTCGACGGATTTTTCCGTTATTTTCCGATCATGGCAATGAGCACACGGCGGGTGTGACCTGTCGGGAGGGGATGCTCACTCCTCACTGGCACCTGATCCCACCTCTGATGTTTTTGAGGTCCGTGTTTGCTCTGCTCCTATTTTGTAATGTATAATGGACTTTTGAGCTTGAATACTGTTCGTTATTTCCATATATTTCATGTACCATAGATCGCGATGAATTGACATATGTGACATATTTTTCTCAATATTGTTGTTTTGCACTTGTGCCGATGCGATTTTGTGCAACATTTAGGAATTTATAAGTGTCCGTCAAGTGATCAACAAAGTCATGTAACATCACAAAAATGCATTATCATAATACCTGATTACACTCTCATTATAAGTTGACCGCAAAATTCATACATAGATTACATACTGAAATTAAAATCTAGCTCAATTAAATAAATGCATAATAAGCCTTCGGACAGCCTTAACATAGCTGCGTTAACTTTAGAACCTCCTGAGGCCATGAATTTTACAATTTAGGTAGAGGAATTAATGCTTATTACAATCATGCTATTAGTTTGACTTCTTATTGTTTAGGAAGGAAAAAGATTTTATAAGATATCACTAACTGTGATGGTTTTAGCCCAATATTTATGCAAAAACTAGTTGAAATTGATAGTTCAGTGGTTTAGGAGAAGAAAATAGAAAAGTTCAAAATTTAGAACCCATGGTGAATGACGAAAACTGCTTTTAGATAGGGCAGTTAATCGATTTACATGGCCTTAAAGATTTTTCATGTCCCTATTGCAAAAACTAAATCTGTCCCAGAACATTAAAACTGACATTTTGGAAACCATAAGCTGTTTGGAGAAAATGAAATTAAAATTATGTGATAACAGAGAAGAAACACGCCCAGGAAATTCCAAGAGTAGTACGAATCTGCGGTCTGTCGAACCGAGTCGTCTATATAATGCTCACATAAATTGCATTGAACATGAGCACAATAACATTAGAATAACAATTGCATTGAATGACATTGAACTAAAATTGAACCACTTATAGATCTTGAAGGAATCAACTGAATAGAAACCAAACAATTGCGAAATGCTCTCGAAAGATAAAATTAGAACAGTCAGTCACGCAGCGTCGACGTGACATACACACGACGTTTTCTGTGTACAGGTGTACCACAGCGATAGTAGTATTGTAAATTGACAAATGGAGAGAACTTGACATTATCGTCTGCTAGATATATAGACATTATCACACCAATGGGACATACTATTGAAAAAAGCTTTTAAGGGTAAGTTACTTTTCTTTAAATTAAATTAAAATCAATGTTGAAATGTTAATTTTGGATATTGATCAAATTGCGTCTGTTTGTTATAGGGACCTTGAGTTGGGAAACGGAAGTTGGTGTTTTGATCATGGCGGAAAATAGAGGCAAAGAATGTAGCTCTTGTTCAGAGTTTGGTTCAAAATATTATTGTTTTAAATGCCGTAGATTTCATTGTGACAGTTGTTTAAAAGATGGTGATATCAGAAGCTTACATACACTAGAATATCTTAGTATTTCCTGTGCAGATCATGTTGTGGCTGATAATATGTGTAAGCATTTTTGTGAGATGTGTGACAAACCTGTTTGTCAGAGCTGCATTCTAAAACACATAGGAGAAAAACACTCCTTAATTAGATTGCAAGACGCAATAGAAAAAAAAGTAAACACAATCGAACATCGAAAAATGATATTGCGTTCTGAACTAGAGAAAAAACGAAGGGAACTGAACGGATTAGTAAAAGATAAAGATGTTTCGTGTGATGATTTCTGCATAGCAGTTGAAAGAGAACTACTTAAGAAAGTAAGAGAGTCGATTTTATCAATGAAAGAACTTGCAAAAAAACATTTAGTAAACAGTCCAGAAAAGATCGAGGAAAAAAGGCAACAGATTTCTTCAGCAGTTGAAGAAATGCAAACAACTCTTTACGAGTTTGATAGCTACACCTGCACAGATATATTAGAGTTTACAGATGACAACTGGAGAACAAGCTATTATGGAAAAGACTTTACATCATCCCCAGTAATTGACGATCTGGTTCAAAGAATAATTTTAGAAACACAGGCTAATTTGGAAGATAGTATTAGAAAGGTTTTTCAAGAAACATACAACATTTTTTTTCCTGAAAGAGTCGGTAGAGGGAATCATACAATAAAAACAATGCAACTGAGGGAAGTAAATATTGGAGTTGATTTTCTGATGGATATTGTGTGCGCCTCCAAGGATGTTATGATCTGCAGTGCGCAAAATAACTGCTCACTTTTCAGAATTGAATGTGGAATGAAATCAGTGGTACCCTGTACTGGATTCAACCCAGAATACATTTCTATGTCGGCATCCTCAGATATCCTTTTCTTTACTTCTTTGAACGAACTATTTAAATTATCAATGGATAATATGGAAATAGTCGAGTTTTTCAAACTTGATTCGGATTGGGAATTCAATGGATTAACTTTAGCAGCTTATGACCGTGTTTATTTGTGTTTAAAACAAAAAACATTAGGAAAGGGATGGATCCTTTGTCTTAATATATATGGCGAGGTTGTGGATGAATATTTCCTAAATAACGATGGGCATGCCCTTTTTGTAAACCCTATATACATATCTGAAAACAAAAATAATGATGGCGATATTTGCGTTTCTGATAATTACTCGGAAGTGTGTTCCATTAAACAGAATAAAGAAATACGATTTGTTTACAAAGGAGTGGAAAAGATGGAGCTAGATTTCCGCGGCATTGTCAGTGATGTGTTAGGAAATGTTCTTGTTTCTGATTTCCGGAACAACTTAATTCATGTCATTAATAAACGAGGGAAATTAATACGCAAAATTGGGGAGGACTTTCTCTGTAAACCAACTGGGATATGCATTGATCCTCAGGGAGTCATTTGGGTCACTGAATATGAAGGTGGAAGAGTTAAAATGATTGAAGCTTGACTTACCTTCATCACGTATACTTAAATTTACATGCTTAAGCTTGTGTTCTCAATATTTGCGTATTTGCAGAACCAGAATTGTTGGAGAATGTGTATTCACTTTCAAACATTACATTTTGCGTTGTTAATTTTACCTTGAGAGCAGGGCAGAATGTACAAGTAAAATGAATGAATTTATATTTTGTCATTTTTTAACGCTTGCAAAGTATAAAAATGCAATAAAATTTGATGTAAAGTTTTCGGATTATTATGACTATTTTCTTCCTAAAACAAGTTAAAGCTTAATAAAAGGGGGAGTTTCGATAAGGCCGCTCAGTGGCCCACTTTTTTCATAAAAATAAATTTCAATTTATTTTGGTTAAATACTCACCTGTCAGGTTTCAGATGCTGGATTTTTAGCCAAAATATTTCTAGTTCAGAATTCAAGATAAATATGTTAACTTTTGTTATTTACATTTCAAAAGTTAATATGAGATGAATTCACACCGTAGCTGATACATACTTAGATGTACCCTCAGATCCGTTAACATTAGGCTTATGAGAAAATATAAGAGGGTGGCATTTAAAAATCGATGTTTAGAATATGAAGTGCATGAGGGACACTCACCTAAATTTGTTCAGTAATTAAATATACTCTGCACACTAATTTCTTGAAACATGATGAGTGTCTGTGCACTTCATATCCAAAAATTGAAAATTGCATAAAATTTGCATATCTAAAATTAGAAACTCCTGGTTTGTTGATCTGACTCTGTGTTAAAATACTAAGCCAAAAGTTGTATATTTTTTTTAAATCAAAGAAGATTCTTGATTATATTAACAGTAGAAAACATTATCGTATCCTATTTTCATTTCCATACTTTTTTTGTCTCCAACGTATAACGTTAACGTCACATTTTTAGCTCAACTCCTTGAAGTTGGAGGAGCTTTCGTAATACCGTCAGCATCGTTGTTCCAGGTAAAAGTTTTTGAAGCAGATTTTTTTTTTCAAGTATATCTATGCCCTATATTAATCACAGTCACCTGATCCAGTGTGTTTCCTTGTCACCAGTCAGGTTTCAGATGCTGAATTTTTAGCCAAAGAATGTCCAGGTAAATGTTTTAAAAGCAGGTTTACGTTTTTGGAGCAGAGCAGCTGTAAGCACCTGTTGACCAGACTTGCTTTATGGTGCATCTAAGGATGCACACTACTAGAATGCTTCAGATGCTAGATATGACCTACATTTCATTAATAAGTGAGCAGGTTAAAGATTTTGAAGCGGGTCTCATTCTTATGTAAATATAAGCCCGATCATGACCAAACTTGCACTGATGATGCATCTAGGATTGCACATTAACAGAAATGGTTCAGATTGCTGGATCTTTCTTTCATTTTCCGACTGACTGAACAAAAAAATAAATAAATTTTACAGCAAGTCCATTCCTTAACGTTATTTATCATGCATAGTTATATTTTTGACTTTTTGCAAATAGAAATCCACGCTCCAACATGCTAGAGAAGCGCCCATATATTTATGTGTGGTTGATATAGGGAACGTGAATCGTTTTTAGTCTGGATGTCTAGGGGCATATGTCTGCCTGATTAAGGATTTAACACATATCTTTGGCGTTTTCACATGTATTTCGAACTGCGCTCTGTTCAAGCAAATCATATATAATGAATATTCTGAAACTCTCTAAATGAGAAGTGACTAGAGTTGGTGAAGAAGTTTAGTATCAGTGGAGATTTGGGAAGCGGGAGAAAATTAGTCCAGGCTGGGATTCTCTCAGTTATGCTGAAAACATAATGCAGATGTATGTGGGCAAATACTTAGAGTGTATAAGTTTCATAATGAAAAGGAAAACTTAATGTATTGTAGATTTTTCCATCATATTAGGTATCATGATAAAATATTTTTTACTGTAATCAATATTATTCATATTATCAAATACATTGCAATATACACAAGCCAGTAGGTGCAAGGTAAAAAAAAATATGTTATCTGTCAGTCTCCAGATAAGTTTCTAGCGCCTGCCATTGAAATATCTGGCGGTCGCCAGATAAAATTGTAGTGTTTTTGCCAATCTAGTTGTAGCACCCAATGATGTACCTTAATGCACTTGATTGACAGAGGTACACAGACCAGGTATTTTTGAAGGCGATGCTTAAAATCTCTGCCTTTAACGACATCTACAACTTCTGTTTGTAGTCAAATCTGGGAGTTTCATGCCTTATTAGCAAAGATCAAATCTACACTTCATACAAAAATTCACTTCATAAGGTCTTCATCTTATAACTTTAAATTTATGTTTTATTAGATTACATGTCTACACCGCAAGAAACTTATTTGTCGGATTCTAGTTATTTATGTGGCAGCCATCAGTTTCTAGTCGCCGCCAGTCATCTATGTAGTGGCCACAGGAAACCTATTTGGCAGCCGCAAAGATATATATTTCTAGCGGCCGCCGAATGATTATGTGGCGACCGCCAGATAAAACTATATTTTTCTTACCTTGCACCTACAATGTACTGGCTTACTTAGCAATATGATGCTTTTAAGTAAACTTTTTATTCATGTATATATATAAAATTGCATTGATTTTTTAATCTTTTTATCTCAAAGCATCTTATTTAATTTCAATTTTATGATATTAAGGTAACCTCAATGATGAAAATGTATTGCATATACCTGTATATGACTTTTTTTACATTCACCTATCTCATGTCTCCATATCTTTTCATTTGCGTTTTTTGCATGAGAAAATGATAAATATTGATTATAAAGTTTTGAAAAAAAGACATCAATCAACCAAGCTTGTAAATTTACTAGGGCCCGACACTCTAGACCACTTATGAGTTATTTAATAAAAATGTTATTATGGAAGCATAGAGTGTTTCGGCGGTTTTTAAAGAGAAATGTGATATTTTTGCTCTTAAGGCCCGCCATCACCAAAGTTATGATTACAAAATACAATCCATATATTAAGGGTTTAAAAAAACGCATTCTCAAACACTGGAACATCTTGCAAACAGACACAATTTGCAAAGAGATATTTATCGATGAACCAATAATCGCCTACAGTAAACACAAAAACATAGGCGAAAAAATAATCAAGTCACGGTTACAATAGCTTAAGACACGTAAAAAAGGTGGGCTCCTGATGATGGCGGGCCTTAAGAGCAAAAATATCACATTTCTCCTTAAAAACCGCCGAAACACTCTATGCTTCCATAATAACGTTTTTATTAAATAACTCATAAGTGGTCTAGAGTGTCGGGCCCTAGTAAATTTACAAGCTTGGTTGATTGATGTCTTTTTTCAAAACTGTCGATTAATTATGATGTTAAAACTTTCTATATATGTTTACGTTTTATAAGTTAAGTCTATCCTCTTTTAAAGAAAAGTAACATTTAACACACCAGAAAGATATCGCACCTTAAAAAAACATTCGCATAAGATAAACACCATTTTCCGTAAAAAAAAATTGTTGAAATTGGTTAATTTATGTCTTTATTCATATTTATCCTATTTCATTTACGATTTTTAGGGTTAAAAAAATCTACTTTTCCCCTATGAAAATGTCTACTCCCAGAATATACGAAAGGGGGTATACTTAAATTTTCAATTATCAAGTGACAGGAAAATGCGTAATATAAATTATTTTCATATTTTTAGGAAGATAAGGAGTTTTTCTACAAAATGTCAAAATTTCATAAAATTTCGTGATGGGTCGAAAAACGGCCTTATCGAAACTCCCCCTTTAAGTATTTTGCAATAAAAGAGGTACCATTCTCTGATATCTTTTATATAAATTATTGAATTATAGCTTATTGGACAGATATTTAATTATTAAGAAAACCCGCAAGAAATATGCTTAAAATTGACGTAAAAATTGACAGCGGTCATAAAAAAGCAACAGCATCAAGTTATTAAAATCTAAGCATGTAAATTAATAACTTTTGCAAACAAACTACGAACCTCTTGCACCAGAGTTTAAGGTTGCTTCTTCTTCTAATATAGCTGCAGATCTGTAGCTCGCTGGTCTGAAAAAATTGGGATGGACGACCAGAGAGCTACAGTGCCACCCATGAAAAAAAAAGACTGTTTATTTATTACACACATTAAGTTGCGCTCGGTTCTGGATTAGTTCCTCCAAATTCTTACCTCAATTGCAAATGAGCTAGATTTAAAAAAAAAAAAAAACTGACTCCTCTGTCAAGTGCTCTCGTAGTTGACATCTGCACAAAGCTCGTTAAACCGAATTATCTTTCAAACCAAAATGGCAGTATGAATAAGCGAAATTTCGATGGCCTCAATTTCAGGCCCAGGAGGGCGATCAACGACAGTTATAAGGGATGTTTTGTTGTGGAAACAGTAAAAGAATATGCTAGGAATACGCAATTAATAATATTTTGAGATGGCAGTTTCAAAAGCATGGTGGAATAAATCAGGAAACCTTGCACTTTTTGTGCGCAATAAATATGCACTATTTTCTCAATGGGTGGCACTGTAGCTCTCCGGTCTGTCAATATATTTTATTCGGAGAGCTACAGTTCTGCAGCTATCTTTAATATTACATTATGTATAAGATGACGCCTGAAACTATATTCGATTTCATATGCACATTATTTATTGTAAATTTAATTTTAAAAAATCAACTTTGTAAATAAATCAACTTTCATGTTCGATAAAGAGCAACCCGCTGCAAGTCTTCTTTGTTGATCAGGTAAAGGGAATAACATCTAGTAAAACATAAGCCTAACAATCGACCAAACCATAGGTTACATACATATTTGCATTTGTATTTGTAGTCTATGTCATTAAAGCGACAAAAGAAAAAAGACGAAAATCTGTTGGTACGTCTATTTGATAAAATTAAAACCGTCAAGAAGTGTAGGCTTACAACAATAAGAATTTTCTTGTGTTCAGGGGTACTAGAGCGATAGCGGATTTATAATTTAAGAAATATAGAGCTTGGATATTATCGTCTGTTTGTGTAGATTTACATTGCTTTTGTCGA